ATTCCACTCTCTTTACTCAGCTGGATTGCGACTGCCCGTTTCCTTGTCCATCTCCCCTCCTTAAGGGCAGGGACTGTCTTCCTCTTATAAGGCTGAATTTGACAGAGTATGCATTTGGTAAAGGCTTATAGAGGACTAACCTGAGTTGTTGAATTGGGAGATTCTGGATCCTGCACTCCCTGATGTCCAGCCCCTGATCAGCCACTAGCAGTGGTCTTATTTTATTCTTTAAATTTTTATTTATATATGTATTTTTTAATGTTTATTTTTGGGAGAGAGAGTGTGAGCAGGGGAGGAGCAGAAAGAGAGGGAGACACAGTATCCGAAGCAGGCTCCAGGCTCTGAGCTGTCAGCACAGAGCCTGACACAGGACTCAAACCCACAAACTGTGAGATCATAACCTGAGCCGAAGTCAGATGCCCAACCGACTGAGCCACCCAGGAGACCCACCCCATGGTCTAGCTTTAGAAAAAGGTGCTACTGAATCCACATGGCAGCTTCCTGTTCCTTGTCACTTATGAGCATTACCTCCCGTCAGGCTCAGTGCCCTGTGGACCTTCTGAGAGAATGGTGCTGCTTGAGGGGCTGGAATGGGAGACAAAAGCTAAAGAATTAACCCAGGTGCTTCCCATTTGGTTGGCAACAGGGTTTTAAACAAAACCACTTCTACCCCCTCCTAAACCTCTTCTTTCTGAGATGGACCTGTCAGTCCTACATTCAGTTTTTTTAATGACAGAGGATTATATAACCAGTAAAGTCTGATTTTTTTTAATTTAGTTAATATTTTAGAGTATATAAGTATAGATGGAAGTATCAAAATCATTGAAATCAAAAAAGTTGGTTCAGCTTTGTGGAAAACAAATCCTTCTGCTGTAGTACATTTTTCCATTAAAAAAGAAAAAAAGAAAAACTGATTTTCAGAGTCCTGCCAACACTCTAAATGTAAGTGCTAGATTTGCAAATAGGCTTATATTCAAATTTAGAGAATATGCATATTCAGAGACTTATTATTCAGGAAATATTTGGTTATCTTCAGACTAAGTAAAACTTTTGGCTAAAAATAAAAGGGGTAACATATAAATAGTGGGGAAAGTTAGGGAGCATGCCATTACAAGAATAGAACACAGAGAAAGAGGTAAGGAGAGCTGCGTGTTGTTGTTTGACTTGTGTTTACCACTACCTGAAATTCAATTCAATTTAACAAATATTAACTGGGTACCTAGCATGCAGGGGTGGGAAAATGCAGTCTTGACTCCCATGTTCTTCGAGTTGAATAGGCAGGACATAATGGAACAATGAGACTGATTCACCCTCTCCTGCCCTATTGTAAAGAGCAGATGTGATTCAGCGTTTGGACTTCAGTTCCAGAGGTGGCCTCTGATTGGTTTAAGCCTATATGGTAGCCCCACCCCTCATCAATGATTGGTTCAGGCACTCATCAGGCCACAGTGGTTGGTTTAGGAATGATTGTGTGACCCAGTTTAAGCCAATGAGACACAAAAGGGAGATTTCTCAGGGTTTCTGGGAATGTTTCCTCTCCTAAAACAGAGAATAGATAGTAGTCTTCCTAGAGCCCCCGTTGGGTATGAATAAAAGGCCCAGAATCATCGCAGCCTCTGGCTATATGTCTGAGGATCGAAGTTGCGAGCAGATAGGTAGCATTGACAAAATCACAGAGAAATGGATGGAGAACTTTGATCAAGCCTTGCCTGAAGCTGTACTACCTACTTAACTTTAGTTATGAGTCAATAGATCTTTTTTATTGCTTAAGACAGTTGGAGTTGTCTTTGGTTTTTCATACTAACTGATACAAGTGATAAGCACACTGATATTTGTAAGGCTGGTAAAAATATATGATAAATAATGTTTAGGTTATGCTGAAAACAAAGCAGATTCCATCAGAGATGGCATCTTGTTGCTAGTAATTATAGAGTTCAATAAGAAAAATATTATCAACTAGAAATTAAACGAGGCTTATGATGAATTACCACTCTACAGAACAAATAGCAAACATTAAATAAAAACCTAAGTTAGAAATGAATCATAGAATTTGAGAGTTGGAAGAGATCTCAAAGCTTAGATAGGAAAGCCCCTAGGTTTCCTGCACAGAAATAGGCCCCTAGAGGTTAAGTAAGTTGCCCAAAGTCACAGAACTGAGTTGAGCAAGGTCGAGGACCCAGTTTTCTTGAATTCCAAATGGGGTTCTTTCTGTCACAGTTTCCTCTCTAAAGATAGGAAATGAAATAGGAAAATGGTATTTTAAAATGTCAGCATTGGAAGAGGAAAGAGGAAAATTCTGCATTTTTATTTAACGGGAATTTAGGAAGCTTATAATAGAAATTTTGGATATTTTGTTTTTAAATCAGACCGTGGCCTTTAGTAAAAGGTTGAGCATATGCTACCATGTGGAACCACCTGTAGTCGCACTGTTGCTAAGCGTCCCACCTGAAGGAAGGCAGTGATGGTTCAACCCATTCTCAACCCAAACCGTGACTCTCCTTCTGCCCCCAGAGCCGTCAGTCAGCTGGCTCTCCCCAGAGTTAGACTGTACATTCTCTTACAAGATCCAAAGTCAGCCTATCAGGGGTCGACCAATAGTGTGTTCAGCCCGGTGCCGCCCAATATAGGTCCTAAGCGATGTTTCTCTTTCTTCCTCCACATATTGAGCAAGGTAGGAGATTCCGATAGAACTGGATGATGCTCAAACTGCAACAAAGCAGATCTCAATTTAGAACAGTGCTCTGGTGTCAGGTCTTCTATTTTAATTGCTCTAAGATCTGAGACATGTTTAATCTCTGAGCCTCCATTTCCTCATCTGTTAAATAACAACTGTCCTGCCCACCTTTCGGAGTTGCTATGAAGATAAAAAGAGCCAATGATTGTGAAAGCAGAGGGTGAATTCTACAACCCTGTTATCATGATCTACTTCATACACCCTCGGTTTAAAGATCAGGGAGCCAAGAGCAGCTGAGTGATTTCCTGAGGTCTATTGGTAACAAGTAGACCTACCCCTTCCTGAGCATGGTGAGAGCCGACCTCCGGCACAGAGATTCGTAATTACCTACAAAACAGCCACAAGATTTGCTAGAGTTACTCAGCAACTACCTAACGAAGCTACGTGTGAGCACTGGATTCTACCCTCTCTCCTGAAATGATGCCCCAAGTGTAATTAAACATTATATACGATGTCAAGAGAGATCTATATGAACAGCTGAGCCAAATGAAAACCGTTTTAAAAACAGTTTCCGCACAACTCCCACCCCCCCAACACCTATCATTTGTAAAAATAAATAAATAAATAAATAAACAAACATTTAAAAATTAAAAAAAAAAGTTTCCAGCAGTATTTTGCTTTTTAGTTAGGAAAAAGAAAGGGAAAATGCTCAGAGAATGGCTAGGAAGTTTGATGAAGGAAATGAAAATGATTTCTTGTGGACTTGCATTAATATTACAGTCATCCAACACACGATTCTCTTCTTCAAGGAAGAAGAATTTCTTCTTCAGGGAAGAATTTCCTGAATTCTCCTTCTGCCTGAGTTGATGAGCCCTCATACCTGTGGTATTTACCCACAACTTAGCTAGAGTCTCCAGGGTTAACAATTTGAACAAGTGATGTCTTGGCTTAGCCAAAAGGATTCTAAGATCTTACGATCTGTCATATTAACATTCTTTCTATATTTTATCTTATGTGTTTGGCTGTTTGCTGCTTTCCACAGCGGCATCTGAAGCAGGTTATACAAATATATGCTCTGTCCAAGAATAAGATAAAATGGAGGGAGTATGGAGAAAGAAAAAAAAAGAAAACAAACCATGGGTAAGGAAATGTGATGAACTGCCAGACGTAGATACCCAAGAGCCTAACTCAGTTGCCAGAAGTACGGGAAAAAAAGAAAAAGAATGAAACCTACCAACCAACCAAGCAATCAACCAAAAAACAAAAAGCAAACTCTAAGCTTTCTAGAAGCCAGGAGCAAAGACATTCTTTGCTACCTGGTGATTGCTGTGTGGTTCATACTCAGCATCCTGCGTGGGGCTGGCGGGCAGGAGCGGAAGGCAAGCTTGGCTTGTAGCCAGTGCAGTGCACTCCCATGGGTCACACTAGTGAAAGCATTAAAGTGCACCCTGAACTCTGAATATTCACTTTTAAAACATTCATTGCCATCCACCCACTGAACCCAGTGGAGTGGCTGCTTCACTTCTCCAGTGAGTACCCTATTTATAGATTCTCCTACCTCTAGCAAAGTGGGCAATATCCAAATTCAAAGGCTATATTTGCTCCCAGGGAAGCCACTTGGGAGAGTGTGCTGCCCTTGCTAATTCACTGCCCTGGGCAACTGCTTGTTTCATCTCTGTTCTTTTCCCAGCCTGAGTTATTGTTCCAACTTATTTGTATGAGTTAATGCTTCTTGATACCCAGAAGCCTATTCCAGAGCTCAGTCATTAGTCAAATCTGCTTTTTCACTAATCAATTATATTCCTTTGTAAACTAGCTAATCTGAAGGAAAGTGAGTTGGCTAATTTGGAAAAAAAAAACCCAAGTGCTTAAATCTTGGTAATATAATGTTTTCATGAAAAGTGCTTCTCTAAATTAGAGTCAAGTTGCATATGTGAATAATGCAAGTGGATGTGGAATTTTAGGAACAGGTCTTTGTCCCTGTGTCCCATCTCCCTAGAGTTTCTCTCCTCTGATGTTCCTTTCTAACAACCGTACTATATATAAATAACTTCATTCCCTGTTGGAAAAAAAAAAGAAGTGTGAAATGATAGGACAATGGTTGTGTTTGGGAGGTGGGATTGAGTCATTTGAAGCAGGCAAAGGATGGGCACTACCAACTGGGCAGCTTGATTTAGCTGTGTCTGTAATCATTATTTAGTGATAATTTTTTTATCACCATCTGCCTTGCTAATCATGTTTTAAGAACTAGGACCTTAACTCAACCTCTACAGATTGTTTTAAAGTATTTGGTCTATCTAACCACTGATGAGAAATTACCAGAAACTTTCAGAGAAAATTTTTAATTCATTTACACAGACTTGAATGTTTAAATTACATGAACATATCATCACTTTTATTTTAGTCAGTTTTCTTCTCTTGTTTTGATCTGCCGTTTGACTTTTTGCCTTGCCAACCCAGATTCAACTGTCTTCAAAGATGTCTTTAGCTATCATTTAAAAAATCAGCTCTCTTTTCTTTGGATAATTCTGCAACCTGGAGAATTAAAACAACATTGTCTAGTTATGCTGTTGATTCATGTGTAATCTTCAGAAAAATACATCATTTTCATGTGGCTGATTAGGTTTTGTAGCAAGGTTCTCATAAACATATGCTCTTTGGAAAGTAGCAATAGTTCCGTCTGTTTTTCTTTCCTGTTCTTTGTAATATACAATGTGGAGGATGTACAGGGGATGTAAGTTACTAAAATTCTCTATACTCTCAAAAATGCATTTTATATAGAAAAGATTGTTGGATTTTTTTTGTAGAACAGTATGGTTTAGGAAAAGAAACCACAAATCTATAAAATGTATCTATCAGAATGTTTTCTATGGATCCTAGTTTTTTTTTTTTTTTCTTGGCCATCTGTTGCTACAAACTAACAAATGAGAAATAGCAATTATTATGAAAGCAGAGTAACCGAAGAGTGGTTCTTTCCAGTTTCAGAATAGGTTATACTACTTTGTATTCATCTTTAACTGAAGATGTCAAATGCCAGTGGAAACCTCAATGCCTCTATGAAGTAGATAATTTTGTGTTATTTTATAGAGAAGGATAATGATATACTGAGAGGTTAGTTAAGTTCTGAGGTCATATCGCCATAGCACAAAATAAGATTTTAAAGTTCAAATTCGAGGAGCAGAAGTATGATTTGCTATCAAACCACATCAACAGAGATTCCCAGATTTTGACACCGAGACTATGTTTATTTGACAGATAGGCAGGTCGACTCCTGCCTTCTCCATCTCTCCAGTCTTCCTTCCCCTTAATCAAATAAAACATAAGCCCCTCTTGCTCTTCCCAAAGTTTCATGTGTAAAACAGGAATTGGAATACTAATACTTACCTCCTAGAGTTGTTTTGAGAAAGAAATGAGAAAATGGAAATATCTTATTACCAACACTAGCGCTTAGTAGGTATTCAATGAATGTTAACTGCTATTATCATCATGATCAGATCATAAAGAAAATAAATGGAAGACTCTAAACCCCTGACTTGGGGGACAAGAATGCTTGCTTACTTTACAAAAGAGGAAGTTTTCTATTGTTTCTTCCAGAAGATTGGCAGGGATAAAATATGCTTCTGTATTCTATCACGTGTTATTATCTATCTATCTGGCATCTATGTATTGTTTAATAGAATTAAATTCTATTTAAAATCTCTGTAATAATTTAATAAAATTATCTATAATTTTCTGTTTTCATCTTTTCTCTATTATCTATCATTACCTATTATCCTGTCTATTTTGTAAGAATACATTTTTATCCTGTAACTGTTCATTTAGACATTGTCAATTGACAAGTCAAAGACAGCATCATTGGGATAACAAAGGAGAAATGCTGAGAAGGTAGCCAGCAGCCACTTATGATATTGCCAATATTTGATAATTTTTTACTTAAGTAAGTGGCAATTTCCTAAAACTCAACCTAATAGCCTCTGAATACAGACACATCCAGGTTAAGAGTTAAAAACCAAAGATACAATGTATTTTCTACTGTTTCTTCTCACCTACTTCCAAAACATATGAAACAAACATAGCAGAACACCAACAGTAGAATAGGAAATAGTGATTCACCAGGGTAGTTCAAACTTTAGAGAATACAATTAAGTCAGCCCAATTTCTGCTTATTGTATTTTCCATCTTCAAAAGCCATCTTAAATATTAGCAAATGTTATTTTCTAAAATAAACTAAGTAAAATATAAGCAAATATCAAATGATATATATATTTTTAATGATGGCTATTTCTAGCATGAAAGCCTACTATGACTTCCCATAGATCAGCTTCACTTTTAGAGGACAAGCCTATTTTTAACAAAATTCTCTATTGCTTTAGCCCATATATTTTTATTATGTGTTAAAGAGCTCTAATTTTGAAGACTAGTTTTATAAGAAAATGTTGTACCTTTCTTCTTGCTGTTTTCTGCTTCCTTAATTGGTCACTCAGCTAACAGAGCTGTATTTGAAACATTATGGCTTCGCTGTCGAAAGGGAGAAGTCAACAGGCTTCCTGATGGTGTGTTCGAAGCTGGGACTATTACACGTCTGCAGACCCTCTTTCACACAGGCTGAACAAGCATCCATTACAGTGTGTACGCTGTCTCCCAGGACAGACTAACTCCAGCACACCAGTAAAATCATGACATGCCCTCCAACACACAGTTACATTTCACTGAAGTTCAAGGGTTTTCAAATGTGACATCTTTAAGAGAATTTCATATGTAAAAGTTTCACGACTCACGCTCTGTGGCAAATTACCAGGACACTATTCTCAGCTGAATCTCGTCAGGAAAACAGGCTGAAGTATTAACATGAGGGTTTTTGAAAGGCTCCCTATGGCACCTTTGCTGAAAAGATATTAAACCAAACAGCTGCTGGTATGGAAACCGGCTGTTTGAACTGTAACTTGGTTAGATATGTTAATAGGGGAAGACTATGATGTCTGACAAACGTGACGCAGGAAATGACTAAACAATTAATGCTTATTACTTTGCAGTATTCCTGGGGCCAGGGAGGTGGTGAGGGTGGTATCATGTGAGCACTAAACAGTAACCCAGGTCAGGGAGACTTGAAAGGGACCATTTCTTTGTCCTTTCTAGAGTTTCAGGCATTATAAATATTAACTTGTCCAAGATCCTACTTCAGAGCAATCATTGACAGGACAAATGAAACGTTTTGCAACACCTTAAAAAAACAATCCTATCAGTGTTTCAGAGCTAGTTTTATTATCCTGCTTTCTAAAAAAGCTGTGAGGCCTCAATAGCTCTGGCAGAATTTCTGTAAAGGTGATGGAATTTGGCCCTTTAATGACGCAAAAAGATGTACGCATGGATTTTGCAAGTTCATGCTCCCACATACATAAATGCTGGGCAGGTTGTGACTGGACTTTTAAAATAACATAAATATAGATACCATAGAATGCAATTTCACTTAAAAGTACAAAAAGTTCAGCATATAAAAATGTACTGGGGCTATGTGCACGATTGGTCTTTCACAATATTAGAAAAATGTTAGAAAGGGTTTTCCCTTACAAATATTGTCATTTTCTCACCAGGAAAAATGATCACTTATGCAAAAATGTCCATAAAGAAAAATAAGCAATTTCCAACATGATTTAAGACCATTGATGACAATGCAAGAAATTTTTACTAAGCCAGGGTCAGGCAAATTATGGCCTGAGGGCCAATCAGCCCCCAGCTCACCTGGGAGCTAAGGATGTTGTTGCGTTTTTATTTTATTTCTTTTAAACAATTTTTTAAATGTTTATTTATTTAGGCAGTGTGAACAGAGGAGGAGCAGAGAGAGAGGGAGACACAGAATCTGAAACAAGCTCCAGGCTCTTAGCTGTCAGCACAGAGCCCTATGCAGGGCTTGAACTCATAAACCACAAGATCACGACCTGAGCCAAAGTCAGATACTTAACCTATTGAGCCACCCAAGCGCCTCTGTTTTTATGTTTTTAAAGGGTTGTAACAAAGCAAAGAAGAATCAACAGCGACTGTTCAGAGCTGGCAAAATGTAAAATGTTTCCTAATCTGTCTTTTACAGAAAAAGTTTGCCCAGCCCTGTAGTAAGCGGTTCCAAACTCTGTGAGGTGAACCATGCTTTCCATCTCAGACCATGTGCAAAGATGAATAAAACCTTCTATGCCTGTAAGTAGTTTATACTCTACACGTTCAGGGCATAAGGCTAGTAAGTAAGCTAAACCATGACAGAAGATGATGTCCGATAAGGACTTCAAAGGAACAGGCCCCAGGGTTGGTGGGGAACTAGGGAGTGACCTATTAGGACGGTGATGCTTAAAATAAACCTTGAAGATGATAGGAGATGTTGAAGGATACTGGGGGTGGGGGTGGGGGTGGGGGGGATGAAGAGGATATCAGAGAGACTGGAATTCAGGAGTGTTTCTGTAACCAGTGGGTGATTCACTCTCAGAAGCACTTAGGTGGCTGAAGGTGGCCTACCTGGATGGAAAGTGAGATGTTGTGTGATGAAACCATGATAAGGAGTTTGTGTGAAATGGAGAAATTCATTCTCTTAGAGACCAAAAGGACAATTCATATTTCTTACTTTGGTGTCTGGTATTAATGTACTCTCATACAGTCATAGGGAAGTGTTTTATGATAATCAGTGTAAATGAAGGAGATAGTCCCTCTTAGGCCTGGCGCATCTAGTAAATGAATGGTTTTTGTCTGTAGGCAATGAATAACATTAGGTATATGCAGTTACCAAGTCACCATTAACAAATAAAGTGAGCAGAGCTTCAATCTACTCATCAGAATTCATGAAAGCCTATTTTCTTTTTCTTTTTCTTTTATATTTTTATTTATTTCTAGGAGAGAGAGAGAGACAGCGTGAGCAGGGGAGGGTCAGAGAGAGAGGGTGTCACAGACTCTGAAATAGGCTCCAGGCTCTGAGCTGGCAGTCAGTACAGAGCCCGACGCGGGGCTCGAACCTACGAACCGCGAGATCATGACCTAAGCGAAAGTCGGAAGCTTAACCAACTAAGCCACCCAGGCGCCCCAAATGGTTTGTGTTCTTAAGAAGGTGGCTGTCTGATGAAGCTTTCATTTCCCCTTATCCGAGATGATTCCTGAATGTGAAGGTTCATATTCTTTAATTATTAACAATCTGAAAAATATTTCATTTGTTTCATGGCTCACCATCATTAAGGTCACACAAATTTANACAGAGCCTGACGCGGGGCTCGAACCCATGAACCGTGAGATCATGACCTAAGCGAAAGTCGGACGCTTAACCGACTAAGCCACCCAGGCGCCCCATGAAAGCCTATTTTCAAGGCAGTTCAAATAGAGGTGAGGCAGCCGAGGTTGGTGAGGCGGCCAGGAACACGGAGTTTTGAGTTTGCCCCTGACTCAGTGCGTGACCTTCGGCAAACCACTCAACTTCTCACTATCTCAGCTTCCTTGGCAATAAAATGGGGATAACAGACTTTAGCCACCTCATAGGAGTGTGACAAAGAGTAATAAATGTCTGCAAAAGGCTTTCAAGATAAGTGCTCCTGAAAACTGGGGGTGGAGGGTGGGGAGAAGTTCTCTTTCAAGAGTTTAGGGAAAAGAGATTCTCAAAATTAAAAGAGGACACAGTTTGCAGCTTCTAAGAGTCAAGAGCTTTGCAAAGTACAAAGGATTACCTATGGATTGTACAGAACCCACAGATTGCTAAAGGTACCTGTAAATTACCAGTAGAATTCTGTAACTGTATTCTCTAAATTAAGATCAGGAGACAAATTATTTTGGCTTAATGGTGGGAGAGAATATTGAAAATCAGACACCACCACCCTAGACAAAGTGGCCACATATGGCTGCTATATCTGTACTCCGAAGCTTAGAATATTCCACTCAGTTCTCCTGTGTATTATTCAGTTACAAAGTCGCAGAGGGAAACACATCCCTTTCTCCACTTCCTTTTCTCTTCAGACTTTATTATTTATTTACTTCTTTATTTACTTTTTAATGTTTGCTTATTTTTGACAGAGAGATAAAGAGAGGGTGAGCAGGGCAGGGGCAGAGAGAGGAAGACAGCATCCCAAGCAGGGTCTGTGCCGTCAGCACAGAGCTGGATATGGGGCTCGATCCCATGAACCATGGAGATCATGACCTGAGCTGAAACCAAGAGTCAAATGCTTAACCAACTGAGTCACCCAGGCGCCCCCTGACCTTTTTTTAAAAAGTTTATTTATTTATTATTAAAAGAGTGTGAGAGAGAGAGAGACAAAGAGAGCGAGCGAGCACAAGACGGGGAGGGGCAGAGAGAGGGGGAGACTCAGAATCCAAAGCAGGGTCCAGGCTCTGAGCTGTCAGCACTGAGCCCCACACAGGGCTCGAAAGGGGCTGGAAAGGAGCTGGAAAGGGGCTCAAAAGAGTCTCCAACTCACCAACCATGAGATCATGACCTGAGCTTAAGTCGGATGCTTAACTGACTGAGCCACCCAGGCTCAGACTTCTCTTCAGACTTTCACAATCCCTCCTTGAGAGGAACAGTGGCAGTAGCATCTACCCTGTCGGAAAGGCTGCTTCATAGCTAACAGTCTGTCATTGACCCTTAGAGGCCAAGGGAGATACTAACTTTTCTAAAGAAAGCTGAAGAGTCAGCCCTGAGATATGCCATACAGCTCTGGGAGCAGACCACTTGGCATAGAAGACATGCTCCGCACTGCTCTGGAAATTCTGGATGGTGAGATATTTCTCAGGATCCTTGCCTTCCCCTATCCCCAAACCTTCTTCCCTCCCTCCCTTCCTTCCTCTTTCTTGCTCTCTCTCTCTCTCTCTCTCCCTTTCTTTCTTAAAGAAACCTTTTACTTTATAGTTGTCTAAACTGGAGAAACAAACCAAAATACTTCAATTTGCAATTTGCTGTCTTTCTGGGAGGACAATAGCTCACAACCACAAAGCCCTGACTTTGACCCTAGCACTCTGTGGCTACTGATGACTCATCCTGATAATTATCAGATTGAATCTTCTCTACTGGTTTGATAATAACAGTGAGCGGAGAAAGACCTTCAATCGAATGTTCATGCCTAATCATTGGTCTCCTGGTAGACTCTTGGTTCTCTGAATTTTCCTGGTATGTATAAGACTATTGATTGCTGTTGATGCAGTCCTTGGGTGCTGCTTGGTGAACACCATAGGTATGCTGTTTTCGGGCCTTTGGAGAATGCTGCCTCAGTAAAGAAGGGGGCAACAAGAAGTACCAGCTGGAGGCGGCTGGAATAGGAGAAAGTGCCCTCTGATGGAATCTTGATTTTATGTGACTTTTCTTTCTAACAGGGTGGCTGAATAGGAAAGTTTAGCTGGAATGTAACGGCTGTGAGTCTACCTTTCCTATTGTTTGGAGCTCTCATCCACTGTTGCTCCCTGCCATTTATAACTTTCATCACTTTTTCCTCAAGGTAAAGAAAACGTACCTCTCTGACTCAGCAGCATGCCAAGGCCATTTGAGTCTTCCCAATGTTCCATAGGAAGTGTTGATTTGAATTCACCTGCTTAAACAATTAGTCTCTAAGATGGCAGCTTGCGACTTCCTTAAAGTAATGGTGTGGGTTTGGAGGGGAAATAAGCTTGTTGGTAATTGTTTTAATTTTTCAGCTCATATTTATTCATCTGGTTGCATGTGGTCTTTCAAGCCTGATACTCTGCTGAATTACTCTCTATGTTAAAGTAAAATGGGAAGAAGACCAAATTTCTGTTCAGTGGAAATATGCATTTTCTGACACTGAATCACTTGCACATCCCTAGTAAAAATCACATATGGATGACCCACAATTCCACTCAGCAATGTATAAGTTATATGCATTTATATATATATAGCCTCTAAGTGATATATGTGTGTATATGTGCATCAAAGAAGTACATTATTCACAGCAGCATTGGT